AACTTAATCCGTATTGGAAGGTGGTTCTCAAGTCAAAAAGTTCTCAGGTCAAATCTGCATTTCCCATAGGAATGCATTGAAAACCATTTGATCCGTATCTGCTCTTTTCCGTCCATAGAAACTAATGGGAAGCTGCTATTCTGCCTTCGACCACTAGAGGGGGATATTTTGTTTCTTTTTTTCTTAGGTCAAGAAAGGTTCAGGGAAGGCAGGGAAAATACAGTCCAGGCAGTACAGTACCAGGCAGTCTGAAGACTGTCTCCCAATCCACTCTCTAAACGCTGGGAGGAGTGAGGAAGCAGACAGGCACCCTTTTCACTGGTCAACAGTTAACTGAAAGTTCAAATTTTGCACTTTCCCTGCCTCCCACGTGGTTTTTTTCAGTTCTTAACTCAAATCTAAGTATGTAAGTCAAGTCAATATTTTCCTATGAGAGTGGTTCTTAAGTCAAAATGTTCTTAACTCAAGCCGTTCTTAAGTCAAGACCCCACTGTATTATATATATGTTGAAACAGAAATGACTGGTTACTTATATTTTGGGGGAAAAGGGACTGATGTTGCCTGTAGAAATTTGGGCTAGTGGGGGCGTGGTAAATAAGGGAGGTGCTGCTCCTATATCCTTTGCACCTCCCCATACCACAGAAACAGTATATGAGGGGCTTGTGAACCTTGGATTTGCCAGTGACCCACATTGGTCCATGGTGATGGAGGATCTGGTCCATTTCTGCATAGCATCCTCTGTGTCACCTCTCTGTAAAAGCAGATGCCAACTTTAGAGTTCTCAGATGATACCGCTGCAAGTTTCTACAACACAGATTCCTGCTTTTATTATCAATCTGAAGGGGACGTGGGAGGAAAAGAGAAGTGAGGAAAGAGATCCAAGAAATATTGGAGAAAACCCCAGCTTTCCCTTTAGAAGTGTTACTTTTTAAATAATGGAGTATGTGTACACGGAAGTATTATACACAAAGCAGTTTCTTCTCGCAAAGTGGAGTGCTGATAAAAGGAAGGTTCACGAGTAGCTCACGAGGGCTACTGCTGACTGACAAGGATAAAAACGCTTCTCTCAGCTAGGAATCGGATTTTTCAGGTTTGGGGTGTTGCAAATGATTGCATTAAAGAAGCTTACAAGTACAGTGGTGCATCGCTTAACGGGCACCCCGTTTAATGATGAATCCGCATAGCGACAATTTTTTGCGATCGCATTGCGATGGTTTAGATAGGAAAAAACACTTTGTGATGATCAGTACCCTGTTTCGCATACCTGTCATCGCATAGCGATGATTT